CCTTCCCTTATCAGGGCCTTTGAGAGGTGGTTAGTCCTTTACAGTCAGTTGTTGCACGTACGTCTAGTGCCTAGCGGAGAGCTCTGCCTGCATGAGCTTGTGCTTGGGCTCTGTGGGGTGGTGCAGCCATGCAAAGTGGTTCCCTGTGGTGTTTGCGTGGTGGAAGAGTGCATCTGTCTGCACATCCTTCTTGCTCGCTGAGGAATTTTGTTTCTTAAGGCACCTGCTGGAGCCAGGTCAGTGTGGAAGTATGTTCCTGTGCTTGTCCGTTAATGTTGTGTGTGTGCATCTGCTTTTCTGCAAGGGACCAAGGGCACGTGTAGATACTTCCTGCATGTATTCCCAAGGGTGTCTGTATGTGGCAGAGCAGTGGGGGGGAGCTTGCTTACTTACCTGGGTGGGAACCATTGTCTGAGCTGAGGGGAGCAAGGAAGGGGCGAGGGGGGGGCTTTGCCAGCGGTGTGAATGTGTAATCCATTCCTGCCATACATACCACCACTCCTGCAGCCTGCTCTGCTGCTGTAGCTCTAAGACCTGTTGTTTTTCAGGTCACTGCACTCTCAAACAGATAACGGCTTCCTTGCTATTTTCCCTGACATGTGTCATGTTACATTGGTTTTGTTTGAAGCCCATCCCTCTGATCCTGTTGCTAACAATAAGGAATCCTCTCTTGCTTTTCCCAAGCCATATCCTGGCACATTCGCTCCTTTTGGTCCTGTCTCCCCATGCATGTTTGGGGCTGTGGGTGACGGTTAACTCTGTAGTTGGCACAACTATCTCCTTGCAAAAATGGAGAGTGGTCTTGTATTTAGACTGGGTTTTTAATGTTGTGCTATTTTAATAGCTTTTCACAGCAATCTCTGGAGGATGTTGCACCAGCCACTGCTGTATTTGAGCTTGACTGCGTGGCGTTGGGCTGTGTGATGGGCCCCTGTGTGTACTGACGGGGATAGAGAGGGGGAGAAAGCACTGTGTACCTTTCTTCACACCTCCACACTTGGCCATCCCGACAAAACCATAATCCTCACTTCTTCCTTCTGATGGAGGAACCCAGAAGGACCCTGAGCTCAAAGTCCTGGATGTGTTGCCCAGCCTTCCAGCCCCACCACCAGTGTGACACAAAATGCCCTTTGAGAGGGGGGGAGTGGGGACCATGGAGCTGTCCGTTGGCCCTCACCCAACTGTCTTGCATTTATTTGGCTGATCCTGTGGTGAGGCACATTGGGACCCAGGATGCCAGGGTTTATTCCAGGCCTTAGAGGACAGCTTGATGGACGTACTGGTTAGTCTGTGGTAGGGAAGAGCAAATCGAAGCTAAGATGCTTGGTTACATAGCAGCTGTGGAAACAGTGATCTTGGAGAGAAGGAAAAGGAAACAGAAGCCAAGGGTCCTGGGATTTATTCACCCTGCCTGCGTTAGTCTGCTGTATTTCCTAAGGTACCTCTTGGACTTCACATATTGTTCAATAAGGGTATAATTTCCCAGCCAGTTTTTCTTATTACCATTTGTGTTGGATTGGTCAAGGGAAAGGGCTAATGACTAGAAAGAAAATATTAATCCTTTGTTTTCCTTTGGGGAGGATAGGACAGGGGAAGCCACATAAACCTTTGCAGGTGTGAGGAGCCTGGGAGGACCCATCATACTCTTCCCTGGAAGCATTTTAGCCAACAGCAAATCATTTCCATGCCAGGCGTGTTTTCAACATTAGGCCGTTTTGTACTTAAGAGTCTTTATCCTCCTGCTTTGGACGGGTAAGCCTCATAGAAGGTTGATGTTTCTGTGTTTGCCCCTAGGGGACAGGAAGCTCTTTGTGGGCATGTTAAATAAGCAGCAGTCTGAGGATGACGTGCTCCGTCTCTTTGAACCATTTGGGGTCATTGATGAATGTACAGTGCTCCGTGGACCTGATGGTAACAGCAAAGGTGTGAACCCCTCTGTGTGTTGTGCACTTTCTCCCTGCTCTTCAGGCCACGCTCACTTGCCTCACCACCTGTGCCTCCTTTCCACTGGGGCACTTACTCCCCTACCCCATCTTTATGGGAACCCATATCAGAGCCAGGGATAGGGAGCAGGGCAGAAGAGTTGTCTGCTGCAAGGAAAGATTGGGGAAGATGGGAAGAGACCTAGGTGAGAGGAGGGGACACAGAGCATGATGAATAGCTGAGCTTTCAGAATCACTAGTGAGCCTGTTGGCTCAGTCTGGGTCCGCAGGGTGAAATGTTTGTGCCCACAGTGAGGAGTGCATAGAGAATTTGGGGAAGAGGTAATCAGGGGCAAGGGTGGAGATGGTGACATCATCTACAGAATGTATCATTGAAGTAAGAATTTGAGGCCCCTCCTGTTTTTCCAGGGTAGAAGACTTGGGCTGAGTCATCCTTTTTATTCCCTGCTTTCTTGGGGTGGCTTTCCTTTGCCCTGCCTGAGATCCAGATACTGTCTCTTGCGTGACGTTGCAAGGGGCACTTTCGCAGCAGTCCTGTCACTGCCATCTCCTGTGCTCTTTCTGTCCCTTTCCAGGCTGTGCTTTTGTAAAGTTCTCATCTCACACAGAGGCTCAGGCAGCAATCCACGCACTCCATGGCAGCCAGACAATGCCCGTGAGTATAAGGCCAGGGTCCCTACCCTTTTCCTAATCCTCTTCCCATCACCCTGTTCCAGGGACCTCCCCTCACTGTCCAAAACCATGGCAGGTTCAACTGCATTTTCCAGCTTGTGTGGTTGTGGGGGGTGGGGAGGGTGTGTGCACATTTTGTCTTTGGGAACCATCCTGTCTCCTGGGCTGGTGTGTGTATCTATGTCTGTCCAGACTGGCAGTGACAGAAGTTATATCTGTAAAAGCTAAATAAAAGAGAGCCAAGAACCAGGCCATAAATTTGTCTTGGAGACAGCTACCTGGAGTAGTTCAAAACTGAGCAGGGTGCAAGCTAATAATTCAGGAACATGAGCTCCCTAACTTCTTTATTTAGGCAGTAGCGGAGGCCTCTGGGGCAGGCTAGGTGTGGAGGGGAACACTTTGTGTTGTGTGAGGTTGTGTAGCTGTAGCTGTGCCGCCTTGTGTAAGTGGAGCTGCAGTTGTGATCTGGTCTCTCACAATCTCTAACCTGGACTGGGGCAGGACAGTGCATGGCTGCAGCAGGGGTATTTCCAGCTGCCGGGAACTGCTGTGCCTGTCCGGCCAAGCTTACGGTGTTGGAAAGATGGTGCTTGTGGCTGACAATGTCCTGGGTGTTCATGACGGCACCATCACCTGGTGTGAATGCAGCCAAGGATGTGTGCACCCACTTGTGCAGCTCTGCAAGGCCCAGAGTTTGAGGGGAGGGGTGGGAGAGGGAAGGATAGGATGGGATGGATGGATGGATGGGGAAGGGCACAGCCCAGGTTCCAGGCAGCTGCTGAACACTTTCACACCAGTATTTGCTTTTCTGCTCCTCTTCCCACTCCTCTCTGCTGCCTGTTCTGCCCCATCCACCTTGCCTGACTGCTGACTCTCTGCCTGTCCCACGGCCTCTTCTTCCCCTGCCTTCTCTCTCTGTCTCCTCTCTCTGTGCCTAGGGAGCCTCCTCCAGTCTAGTGGTGAAGTTTGCTGACACAGATAAGGAGAGGACCCTGCGTCGTATGCAGCAAATGGTGGGGCAGCTGGGGATATTCACTCCATCTCTGACCTTGCCGTTCAGCCCATACAGCGCCTATGCGCAGGCTGTGAGTATCACGCGTGTGTGTGTGGGGAAAGGCTGCCCTCCTGGCTCTGGGGCAACACCATACCTGCGCTGGGAGACCACCAACGGGTCTCTGTAACAAATGGGAGAAAGCTTCTTGGCACCTGGGAGCTGTTCCTGGCTTCAGTTTCTCCAGACAGCAGCCTAGTCTTTGTGCATTTCTCTCCTGGAAGGGGTGACATGAGAGAGCTGGGACCTTCTGAAAGCAAGGCTGGATTTCTCCGATCTGATGTAGTTTGTCAGAGGTGTCTGGGAACAGGTCAAGCATGACCCAGTGTCTTTCTGTCTTGTTTTGGGGACAGCTCAGAGCCATGATTCCTGAGTGACGTCTGCCAGATACGGCAGTCTGCTGGCTTGTGAACTCTTCCTCTGGGTCTGTGGCACAAATGGGTGTCTCTTTGTTTTTGGAGCATCATTAGAGCCCTGGGCCCAGCTTCATGTGCTTATTTCTCTTCTGAAATTCTCAGGAGGGCCCTAATCCCCTCAGTGCTGTCCTTGGCTTCGGGGGTTTTCTCTCTTGGCTAGTGGGGTTTGCAGGATGCTGGAGAGGGAGCAGCAGGTAGCAGGAGGGTCAAAGGTGTTTCAGCAGTCTGGCCTTCTCTGGCTTTGGGTCTTAGTGAGAGAACCTTATTGCCTTGGAGCAATTATGGCGATTGCCATTGATGTCTGAGGTAGGTCCCAAACTCAACAAGATCAGCTGTGGGGGAGCATCTTTCAGTTCTTCTTGGTGACTGTCACTTTCAGGTCCCTGCTACCAAGTACAAAGCCCATGGAAGGAGGCTCAGAAATTGCTCAAGGCATGAGAGATGCTTGTGTCAAACAAAGTACTCAAAAGTAGATACTGTTACTGAAAGTAACTTTCCAGGGTTGGGAAGCGCAAATAAACCTGTTATTCTCATATATGTGGACACCTCTTTTACCTCTGGCTTCAGTGGCTGCTTAGTGTGTCTCCTTTCCCTCTACATGACAGAACTGTTTCTCAGTTGTTGGCCGTTTCCTTTCGAAGAACTGCCAGAAACTCCCAAATGCCATTTAAGTGCGTGGCGAGAACATGGAGTAGCAAAAGAAAAGAGGCAATACATACAAGGCTCTATACTGTTGGGGAGTTCTGGGAGCCAAACATTGAATTTGTCCAGCACTAATTATTTGATTCTTCTTGTGTAATGAGGCTGAGAACACCTGTAACATTCTAAGCACCAGGGCTTCCAGCAGAAGAATGGTTTACAGGGGAGAACCCTTTCTGACCACCCACCATCATCTCTTGCCAGGACCAGTCTTTTCTATCCAGCCTTGTAATCCACAGGTCAGCTATATATGAGGTCTAAGGTTGTAGCTTAGCTCAGCTGTGGGTCAGCTATGAGATGATCATTCTGGTGTATCTTCTGCTGTCATGGAGATGGTGCTAACTTGGGCATGGTATGAAGGTGAAGGAGGCAGGAACGGACCATACAGTGAGGTTATGATGGCAGAAAGTACTTTAATAGCTTATGGTCCAGGATGTGTAAGGAAGGAGAGCAGCAAGACCTTCTAGACTCGGTCTTAAAGTGCCCTCCAATCTTCAGAAACTCCTGCTGATGACGAGAAACCAGTCAGGCCTAGGCTGTGCTCCTTGCTTGTCTGCATCTTCTTTCTTCTCAGTTGTGTGTCTGTAAATTTGTTGCTTTGTCTCTGATTCTTCATTGGCCTTCCTGCTTTGTGACGTTATTTTGGCTTTCCCCTGGACTCAAGACTCAGCCTGTCTCCCACTCTTTCAGGTTTTTTCCCTCCTTTTCCTGTTCACTGGTTTTGGTTCTCTCTTCTTCTTCTTTCTGAGGCACTGACTTCACACCTGATTGTTTCTTCTCTTGTGTCATCTCAGTCTTTGGTCTGTCTCCCTCGTCCCGGAGGAAGAAAGGAGGAGAGCTCCTAGCCAGTTCTCATATGCATACAGTGTCCCCATCAGAGGGAGAGGGTATCAACCCTTTGAAATGCCATCTAATATCTCAGGAAGTGGGGACAGAAGGGAGGGTTTTCCTTTATGAATCACCTTACAGCACCTCCAAATGTCCTGCCATGGGCAGTCCTTGGGAGCTGGGACCTCTGGTAAGCCAGAACTCCAGGGAGCTCCAGTACAGTTCATGTTTGCGTGGCACAGGGCTTGGAGTAGTAGATACTGTGTCCAGGGTTGCTCACAGGCCCAGGAGATGCAACTGACAATTATGTACGTGGTTGAATCAGACTGAGAGGAGCAAGTGCTGCAGGGATGAACTGGTGCATCCTAAGCATTGGTTCTTACATTCACAATTTAATACACCAACAACTTCCTCTCCCTGTCCCCATGGGGTATGCTGCCTTGCCAAGTCAAAGCAGTCCCCAGAGTCTCTGGCCCAGGAAGAAGTAGTTTAGCGTTGTTTGGTTTTTTTTGTTTTGTTTTGT